ATAAATATCCTTCTCTCTGTTTAAGTTCCATTTCAGACACTTCTACCTTACGTTCAACAAAAGTATGAAAATGCCTAAGAATCTAGTCTGGTAATAATCCCTGATGATTCTTTTAACCCTTTGCCCTCGATGAACTTCTTTTTCACATCAATTCGTATATAAATAAAATGACATATCATTGGAAGTAATCATTGAAATGGTAACAGAAAATTTCATTGATTATATCTTTCTAACATGTGATATCGTCAACGTGCAATCATCAACGTGGCTTGCCAGAAGAAATATCATATTGAGTTAATGATACAAGTATAATATTTTTTGAATTTTCGTAAGAAGCAATAAGAAGTCTAGTTTATGTGAATTATCGAATGTCAATTTACTCAGGATTGTCTTTAGAAATTTCTTCTTCTGAAATTCTTTTGCTCTTCTTACGTCGTTATTATAGCGTCATACAACAGCAGATGTATACATTCATTATAATTAAAACAGGAAATTATAAAAAGAGAAAGTCCGAGCTGTTACTTGGATTTAAGTACGATCCTCAAAAAGTCGAGTGCAAAAAAAAAAAAAAAGAAACGAAATTATCATTCAGGTTAATGCAACATAATGACAACGTAGCACGAATTGATGTGTTAAAACTGATAGCCCCGTTGTACAAATCGACTTCAACAGCTCGCGCGGAGTTCGAGATTAGGATCACTTAAAAGTAAAGTATCTTTATTACGAAAGGAATACCAATGAAAGGTGACAAGTGGAAGCTAGGTGCCGCCGCGCAACCTAATTCGATAACGATTACGACCGAAGTTCGTGACGCGTAAAACGTAGGGAACGCGGATCGCGTTGGCGAGTTATTTTACATTGGTCATAAAGCGACGAACGTCGACGACGGGAGGAAATTCCACGCGAGGTAATCGGGCAGGCCGGGCTAATAATAATGTAGAACGGCCGAGTGAAAATAGCGCAACAAGTGCAATTGCAGCAACGACAGCTGCAGCTGCTGCAGCGGCCCGCCACGTATTATATTAGAAATCCGGTCGCATTATCCCTCGGCCGAGTTTATTCCTCCAGAGCTCTATTACCGCGGTGTAGACTCTAGACTCTGGCAGCGTACAACGCTCTCCTGCTTACCTCCTATTGTTTATCTCGAGGATTTTCTTATCTGTTGTCTTCGACGCTACTGGCGGCTTCTTACGCTCTTTGCTCCCTCTCTGTGCTCCTTCGAACGCTGGTTTCACTTAATAAAAAGGAGAAAACGACGAGGAGGGAATAAGAGAGTGGAACGACTGCGAGATTTTCAGATTCATTAGAATGAAATTGCAGGTGTTCTTAAATCTATCTGCATTATGCTTTCCACCGGTGATGTCTGCTCACTCTATCATGAAATGTAGAATAATAACAAAGACTAACGATAAGAATATTTATATTTATTCTCATTGTTAAAACTATCTGTCGGTAGGACAGTTCAGTTGTTATATAATTATATGATAAAAAGCTGTTCTGTCGATTGAAGGTTTTATAAAGAAAAGAGTATTTGCATGGTACAAGTCATTTTTAATCAACAGTGAGTTACAGCGATTAGTTCTTGAACCTTTCATGTAATATTATATTTACTTTGTGTTTCATTACAGCTAGTATCAATAAAGAATGGTAAATATTTAAATCGAGACAAATTTATGAACTATAGACAGCCGTGCAAACTTCAGTGATATAGGTCCATCATTGGTCAGTCAGAGAGTATTTTCCATACTTTGAGATGAAATGATTACATCTGTCGTGAAAAGCTACATCTTACTGTTTGATGATTCAATTAAATTATCATTATTATTATCAGCATTACTATTGTTCGATATTGGATCTATATTTTTTTCTATTCTAATCTAGGTGGTCCAAGGATTCGATTGTTTCAATTAAATTATATTTTAATCGTCTTTCGAATTATAGAAATCTTACAAAATTTCTGGTCTTGATTGGCGCAAAGATTTTCTTGGATGGTTGGATTTTTATTGACCGTTCATCGATGAGAATCGGTATTTAACGGGATGTTTTTTCCGTGGAAATACAAATTCAGAGCTATAAATGCTGTATTTTTTTAACTTCTTTTAAATGAACTGCTAGAATTCAGGACTTTCTTATCGAAGGAGTGATAACTTTGGAGAAAGGAAAATGCGATAAATCCAAGAATCTGGGAAGAAATCTACGAAAGAATTGATAAGAAAAGAAAATTATCGTGAAAGGGAAAAATTAGGTAGATTTGGGAATTTGAGAAATACAGTTTTTCTTGAAACACACAGAAAGGAAAAATGTCGATGGTTAAATAACTTGTTATCATGTCGATATTAACACTAAAAATAAACAATTCTATAAATATTAAATGTCCCTATTTTATAAGTTACGTTATTGTGTGTGTATTCCTATACCTTGTACAATTCAATACGCTTGT